CAAGACGCTTCCCAGGCTTTGGCTGCTTAGCTGGCCTGCTGGAAGCCATTAGGAACCACTGCTGTAAATCTCCCTGTACTTCCGCACCACTGGCCTGACCACCTCAATTGAGAGCTCGCCTACTCCCCACTTATGTGAATTCCTCTGAGGGCAGAGTGGCAGCCTGGAATGGCACAGATACCACCTTAAATCACTGGCTCCCTGCTCCAGCCCAGCTGCTCGCCTATTTCGGAGGCAGCTTGGAACACTGCATCACTGTCTCTGAGCAGCTTGGGGGACGAGGGATGACAAGGATTCAGTCAGGCAGCTGCTGGGATCCATGTTTGTTTCTCCTCAGTGGAAGCTGGGCCTTCCTGGTGATATTTCACTGCTTAAGAAAAGAGTCAGTCTGGCAGCAATTCCATATTCAGAGGTGAGATCTGAATGTGAACTTCAGAGCAATCACCAGCCCCCTGCTCCTAATTTTCAACCTGAACCCAAAGCCCAAGCAGTATATAATTATTGTAATCAATGGTTTAGGAGCACAGGCTCTGAGGCCAGTCAGAGCCATATTGAAACCCCATGTCTGCTTATTATCTCTGATGATCTAGGATAAACCTCTTACTATCTGTGCTTATAGCCCTTGCTGTCTAATTCTTGGGATGAACAGAAGTTAACTTTCCCACAGTGGTTATGCATAGTAAGTCAGCACAAAACTCAGTAGTTCAAAACAAAATCACTTATTTTCATAATGTAGGGGCTTGACTGATTGAAGGTGGGCTCAGCTGGAGAGTTCTTCTCCTGGCTGCAGCCTCAGAGTTAGATCTCCTATTCCCTGCTGGTTTGGGTTAGTTGGTTTGAACCAACTTGTCTCAACTTCCTTGGGTCAGCAGATTAACTAGGCCTCATTCTTCCTCTGAGATTTCCAGGGTAAGCAAGAACATGTGAAAATACACATGAAACCCCTTCAGGCCAAGGTTTGGAACTGTTATGTTATTATGATTGTCTTATATCATTGGCCAAAGAAAATCAGATAGGTCAGCCTTAATGTCAGAGACCAGGGAAGGAAATTTAGTGTGAGATGAAGATATGGCAAAAGCATAAACACAAGGGGGAGATGAATTAAGCGAATAAAAGTTCAATTTTTTAGAGGACTATTTGAGATGAGTATGTACCGTGCTTACAAACTACTTGACCAAGAGTAGTACTGGTACAGTTGGTAGCTGAATAATTTCTTGTCGAATTTTGCTAATCAATTAACTCTATTTTATAAACTTTGTGCTAATTTTTGACTTCCTGCTATCAAACCCATTCCTTATCCTTCTCTCTCTCTCTTTCTCTCTCTCTGTTCTGAATTGTAAGGAGGACAACATATCGTCTAGGAACTCTTTGATTTCCTCTTAGATTAGTTGATGAGAAGAATTGATGGGCGACTGAAAAACAGGAAAAGAGATACACTCTGGGGTAATTTTCCATCTCTCGGGTGACTTTACAATGGCATCTTATCTAGAACTCCAGCTTCCATTGACCTCCTCTTGAGTCATGCAGCTCTAGGATTGGCAGCTTCACTAGTTCTCATTAAATCTCCTGCATTAGAGATGAAGGAGTTTCCTTTTCTTGGAATCCTTAGATTCACTCAGAATCTCTTATTTGGCTTACTGCTTTGCTTTTCCCCATCTGTTTGATCAATTAAAAATAAATCCCCTCTATTTGTGAAACTCAGCAATGTTTCTATTTTCCTGACCAGACTTTGGCTGTATTCGTTATGTAATTCCATGTAACAAATTATCACAAATTTTGAGGCTTAAAATAATATAATTTGCTATAACATAGTTTCTGTTGGTGAACAATCTAGGTTGGCAGGGTTTTCTTCTGTAGTTATGACAATACTAAATCATATCTGGATGGACATGGCTCTTATCTGAGGGACTTGAGGGAATGATATTCTTCCAATCCATTCATGTTGCTGAAAAATTCACTTCTGAACAACAGAACTGTTACGGTGATATGACACTATCTTCATGGGTCCTATGGAATAAGGTAGGACAGGGCATCTTTGGGTCGCCATTAGAAAAATCATCCTATCTTACTGACTTATGAAACAGGGGGACTGATTTTCCTTGTCCACAATAATATTGCAGAGTATGTTGTAACTGAGCCAAATATTTGTTAGGCTCCAAGTATATATTGTGAATTATGGAATAGATAAACAGACATTTCTAAAGTATTGTTTGAGCTTCCCCAAGATTCATAAAATCTGGCACATTGTATATATTTTCTGAATCTTGTCAGAGAAACCTGAATGATACAACTTGATATGACATTTGAAACTCACTTGAATCAGTTTAATAATTAAATTTAAAATCAGATCTCCAAAGATTTCAGTAAAAGTTGAAAAAAAATGTTTTAAACAAAATCAAAAAAAGATGAATCTGTAGTCCAAATTTAGATTCCTAAAATATCTTTACAAAAAGGAAATAAGACTAGCGTGTAGCACATATAAAAAATTAGTTGTCAAGTTCAATGTGTATCAGCAGTGTAAAACAGCTGCTCTGAAAACTGAAACAATTGAAGGCTAAATTAAAGAAGTATAATGTTATGCTCCAGGTAGGAGATAACTCTGCTTCATGTTTTCCGGTAAAACCATTCAGGTTTCAGGTAGTATAATTTCGAGAGGATGGAGATAAACACAAACACATCAGGAGGAGAAAAATCATGTTTTGTGTGGTCTGCAAATTATGCCATATGGGTGAGTCTAGTTTGAAGTGACTAGGCTCAGGGGACAAGTGAGAAATATGAGCATTACCAGGAGATAAACTGGGTTGGATGACTCAATATAACAACCATCTCAAAGCTGGGGAGGAGCATATGGTCAGTAACTGCTTATGGGCCACACATTTCCCTCTGCAGCAAGAAAGTTCTGTGAGTTGATAGTGGTGATGGTTGTGTCTCCTCGTGAATCGACACAGTGCCACCGAATGATATACTTTAAAATAGTTTATAAAGTGTATGTTCTGTATACTTTACAATAAGAAATGAAAAACAAAATGATTAAATGGTAAATTTGATTTACCTTTGTGTTTGTTTTGTCACAAGAGAAATAAATCTAAAAACCTTAATGATGCCATTCAAACCTCCATCAAAATCATTTGGAAGGACTTGTTAAAAAATATGCTCTTGACACTTCACACTGGAGATTCAAAAATCTAGAATGATGCTTCATAATTATGTGTTAAACAGATATTTATTGAATACCTCATTTGCTCCTGGCACTTTGATACCACTGAACTAGAACGTGGACCAACCTTTGGGAACCATTAACCTTAAAGCTTAAGTTTCCTATTAATGCAGTCATCCAGGCTCTGCAGTGGAGATGCAATTCCAGATTTAAAAGAGAGTGAGCCTAGAAGACCTATTATTTCTTATCCAATTCTCAAAATTATTTGAATTTATAACATTGCAAGAAATCAATCACAGGCTTATTTCGTGCCTTGACTCCAATAAGAAAGTGAAATGTTCTTCCATTTCTTTTTTTTTTTTTTCTTTTGTGCAAATAATACCATGCTCAAATTGATCTGAAATTTCCAGGGAAACAGACATGTTAATTTTGCAAATTTTCTGCTTAAGAATCAGTATAGAATAGTGGCATGGATCATGGGTTATATGTCAAGTGGGTTCAAATAGTGGTTCTAGCTTTTAGTATTTGTGTAAGGTGGAGCAACTATTCTTACTTTTTCATCTCTTTGTCCTAGGTCAGTTTCCCTGGAATGGACCCAGATTCTGAAATGTATATCAAAGACCTCACCCAATCTATGAAGACTTCTGGGGCTAGATGTTGCATTGCATATAAAGGAATTGAGACGTTATAAGCCAGAGCTCTAGGCTCTGGGGTGAGCTTCTTGTGAGGAGGTAGTGTAACCTTGGGTAGGTCATTTCTCTTTAGCCAACAACACTTCCTGGAGAGGGGCTCAGCTAAGAGATATCAGTAACTAAATCTTCCAGTAGTTGGGAGAGCAGGGTTTAAATCCAGAAGCAGTGAGGAAGGAGGGGATGTTTTTTGTTTGTTTGTTGCTGTTTGTTTGTTTTGTTTTGTTTTCCAGGTATTAGGTAAAGATTGAAATACCTACCTCATAAAATGATTGTTCAAATAAGGTTTGCAACCACAGTGCTTGCCACACAATGCCTGTCATATGGCCATTGTTCAGAAATGATACCTGCAGAATTCTAAGAAAAATTTTAGTGGCCTTTATCTTTGCAAAGTCCCTTCCCCTTTATGGGTAGTTGGAGCCTGTGAATGTGGGAAATATCATTCTGGTCAGTATGTTACATTATAAGGCAAAGGGGGGTGCTTCCAGATGCATCCAATCCAATCAGATGAGCCCTGAATCTCAACATCATGTACATCCACAAGACACGAATTAAAAAAAAAAAACTGTAAATAAATAGCAGAAAAAACTGTAGAGTAGAGAAAGGAACAGGGGGTAGGAGGAAAGAAGGTGTTTTAGTCACACCTTTAGCTATTTTGCTGCTGTGACTAAAAGAATCTCACTAGAAATTGTAGCAGAGGAAAAGTTTATTTGAGGGCTCAAGGTTTCAGAGGTCTCAATCCATAGACAGCAGGGCTCTAGGTGAGGCAGAGTATCATAGCAAGAGGGTGTGGCTACGGGAAGCAGCTCATACTGTGATCAGAGGCAGAGAGAGACTCCACTCTCCACATACCCAAAAGCCACGCCCCAGTTTTCAGCTCCTCCAGCCACATCCTACCAATCCAATCACCCCTCAGTTAATCCCATCAGGGATTATTTCACAGATTGGGTCAAGATTCTTACAACCCAATCATTTCTCCTCTGAACCTTCTTGCATTGTCTCACACGTGAGCTTTGGGGGGACACTTCATATCAAAACCATAACAGAAGGGGAAGAGGATATGCTATGGACTGAATTAGAACAAATTATAATTTATGCTTTTATAATTATTTCATAGTATATTTTATTGTCATGTATAACTAAAAAACAACCAATAAAAAAAGCAGAGTGTTTATTGTTTTTGTTGTTTTGTCTTTTTGGTTTTTGGTTTTCCTGATTGGTTTCAGAAAAGGAAGCCAGAGAAATGTGGTTGGTTAGCTGGGAACGAAACAGACAGCAATCTTGTGAGCAACAGACACAGGATGAGAGCTGGAGAATGGCCTCAGAGTGGAGAGCGGTCCTCTCCAGCTGACCAGAAATGGAGGACTTCAGACCTAGAGTAAGAAGGAACTGGATTATTCTTAGGAACTTGGAAGGGGACCACAAAACCCAAATGAAAAGCACAGGCCTGGCGGACACCTTAAGCTCAGCCCGGAAAAGGACTCAGTCACTCTGTGTCTGAACTTTTGACCTATGTAAGATGTGAGATGATAAATTTGTTTTGTGTAAACCACTAAGCTTATAGTAATTTGTAATGCAGCAATTAACAAGTAATGCAGTTTATCATTAATACCACTTCTATAATGATTATTTTGCTTCATCTTAGGCTTACTGGCAACTTTTTGTATTTGTGATCGAGTTTGTTTAAGCCTACTGCAGAGAGGAGGACTGGGATAATAGAGGAAGCATTCTTTGAGCTCTGAAGACTTACCCTTAAGGATGCCATTTTTGTCTTCTGTGAAATTTTGTATGATAATAGGCAAGTGTTAGCCAATGGTGAAACAAGCTGTAACTGTGGTTTGCCAGGTAAATTCCACTTAGTCACATTGTACACTCTCCCCTTTCAGCCTTCGAAATTTCATGGGTGGAATGCCATGTCACCTCAAAGCTCATTACGCACTCCTGACTCTAGCCATATTGATATCACTTCTCTTCCCCTTTTTCCACCAGTCCATTAATCAGCCAGGCTTTACTGACTAGTCACCAGTGGTAGATGATGCGTATACAGCCATGAGCAAGACTAATATCCCCATACACTCATGCATACACATCATTCGTGGAGTTTGGAGTCTGATGAGAAACAAAGGTGGCTGAATGGTATTATGTAATATCATGAGTCTTATGGTGGAGAGGCACGGTGCTTGGAAATACTGAAGAGTGCAATGAAGTTTAGTCTTGGGAAATCACAGGCCACTTCTCAGAGCAAGAATGAAGAGCTGGTCAAAGAAAGCAGAAGGACAACTGATTTTCTGAGTCACACTCTGGTTTTGGACATTGTAGTAGAGGAAAAGTTGAGACCTTGAAGTGTTTAAAATGGTGAATAATGGATGCATTGTTTTTCTACATTCTTGACTTTATCTCTTATCTGCAAACAGAGATGCTTCACACTAACTTTGCTTCTCGACACCGCCTTCTACCTCTTAAATTCTACCTTCTTGTGATAACTTCATCTCCTCTGGATATGACTACATCTTCTCAGTCTCTATTTTGATGGGATTCATCTTATGTTTTATTTCAGGTGGATGCATGTCTTATAGCCTAGGTAAGACTCTGCTAGTAGTTCACTGAGAATGGGGATCCTCCCTGGTAGAAGTTTCTGCATGGAGTAAATTTTCTTTCATCAGGAAAATCCCATATTCATGAGTTTAGCATATATGCATTAGTCCTTTACAATTCATTATAGGTACAAGGAGACTACAGAGTAGAACAGATTCCTTTCCCTGTTCTCAAGGACTTACACTGCAGTGGGTAAGAGACACAAGACAAGGGTAGAAGTAGAGGCAGGGGGTTTAAGAAAATGTAGGTAGATTATATTATTGTCCAACTGTATTGAAATCAAAGAAAGGACCCAGATGTAAATCATCAGAATAAAAACATATGCGATTCAATAGAGAAACAACAACAAGGAAGCAAAGAGACCGGTTTTTAATTCTAGATAGAATGAAACTGATACCAATAGTCATTCAGTGATGAATTCTGCTTCTCCACATGTTGAAGTTTGAACATTAGAGAACCACACTGAAGCAGGCATATAAAACATATAAAGCAGGGGTTATTTAAAAAGGGGTAACAAACATCTCCTGTCAGGGGGCCATAGCTGGTATCCTAGTATCCCAAGAAGCAAGAAGTTCTGTCCTTTTTATATGTCCTGGGCTTCCTTTGTCCTCTTGCCCTCTTCCCCTTATCCTTCTTCCTCCTACATAAGTGACTAGGCCCAGGAATGCTCAGTGGGATGGCCAAAAGGTGGGCAACAGGTGGTGCAGCCCAGGACACATTAACAACCTTTAGCTCCCTGTAGGGAGGGGCAACTCCTAGGACAGGTTACCTTGGCAACAGGTTGGAGCAGGGGCAGGTTCTTGATAAGGGTGGAGGAAGGTCTCTGAAGGAGTTAACATTTCAATTCCTCAGGGGACAGTCTCCAGCTTCTGATTCACCTATCTATACTGACTGCCTATCTAATTCTGGCTTCAAAAGCATTATAAAAACAGTTCAGGGTCAGGACTTGATCTCATGCATCTTTCCTCCCAGTGGGGCTTGCTAACAAGACTGGGCTTTGAGGTTTCAACCCCAGCTTCAATCAGAAGGTCAATGTCTTTATCCATTTTGCACACTGGAACCTCGTGATCTTATGTGTGTTTGCATGCATTCTCTTTTCTCCTGTAATAAAACCAAGACAGAACAATTTGAGGAGGAGAGACATCTTCCTTGCTTTCCTTCTCCATTTTTCTTCCATTATTCTTTAGGAAATTATCCTGGGAATTTGGGTGGAGGAAGAGGAGATACGTGGGGCTGGAGCAGATGGCCAGAGGTAAGAAAATCCTCTCTGGTGGTTGCAGGGAGCTCCCAGAGTGTCCTCATCAGTAAACCTACCACATGGTGCAATTTGCATTGCTGCAAAGCACTCTCAATGTTCTCTCCCTGCATCTGTCTCTAGTTCCAGCTCCCCACCACATCCCTTTACGCAGTTCACACATTTCAACCAGCAGTAATCCCCAGACCACTAATTCATGCTCTATAAAGTGATGGCAGCCTGGTTCACCATGGACCTGACCACAAGACTGGATTGCTGTGTGCCCACAGAAATGTTGCAATTAGCAAACGATGATTTCTGCTTTTTTTTTTTTCCTAGCAACATCTTTAATACCACTCCCCATTCTCCACTCCTATTTTTGATGACCTGTTCACACCTCATTACCTCTCATCTGGTCTCTCTCAGTAGCCTCTGAGCAGGTTTTTCCACCTCTAGCCTCTTTGTCTTCTATCACATTTCACACTTATTAGTAACTAAATACTAGCTTCATCTAAGGGTTTGGATCATATTGTTCCTATTTTTAGAGCTTTCTTGTGGCTTTTTACTTGTATCAACCCAGATTCATTAGGGCCTGGATATTCCATGTATTGGCTTTGAAGCCAAAATTAGACAGGCAGGCAGTATAGATAGATAAATCAAGTCAGGTCGGATCAAGGAGGCCAATTTGAATGAGTCCAGGAAACTGGAGACTGCCCTCTGAGGGATTGAAATTAATTCCTAGAGAGCCCTTCCTCCACCCTTATCAAAGACCTGCTCCTGCTCCAACCTGTTGCTAAAATAACCTGTCCCAGGGATTACCCCTCCCTGCAGGGAGTTGTTAATTAATGCATCCTGGGCTACTCCATCCTGCCCTTCCCACTTCAGCCCATCTGTTTCCCACCTTTTGGCCATCCCACTGAGCATTTCCTGGGCCTAGTTAAGTATGCAGGAAGGAGAAGGATAAAGGGAAGAGAGAAGGAGAACAAAGGAAGCCTAAGACATATAATAAAAGGGAGAATGCCTCACTTCTTGGGATACCAGAATACCAGCTATGGCCCCCTTCTCCCTCCAGGGAGGAGTCTATGTTACCTCTCTTTAAACAAATCCTGCTTTATATGCTTGCCTCAGTGTGCTTCCCTAATGTTCTACTTCAACATGTGAGGGAGCAGAACTCATCACTGATAACTGGTGGGATCAGCTTCAGTCTTCCATTTAGCCCTTACCACCTTCCACACCAGCTATGCAGAAAAGCCTTCCCTCTTCTCTTCTTCTCTTTTTCTTTTACTCATCAAATCATCTATTGTCATCTTCTTTCCAAGTCTTAAAATGTTGCATTTCCTCCCCAAACTGTTCCCATGAGTCAAAAGCCATTTATCCCATCCTAGGGACTGCGCCACAATCCACCTACTTCTTCACACCTCCCTTTGTCCTCTAGTGCGATATTTCACCCATCTCTAAAATGCATGTATGGTTTAGAGTGGGGCTTGGTCTATCATGGGATTATATTAGAGCTAATCTAATAAAATTTGAAGATCATTGCCGATTTTCCATTTGAGAGGCACACTGCTATTAATATACTTCTTTTATTCATTTCTCTGTGACATTTCTAACTATAATTGCATAGGTAGCTTGTTGAAACATCATCTTCTCCAAAATAAATACTTTCCCTACCAAGGTGTACCAATAGGGGACAGCCTGTCGAGTTACTGTACTCTCTCTGCATCAGCTCCTAAACTCACTGGAGTTAGGCTTTTACCACCACCGGCCTTCTAAAATGGGATATGGTCTACCATTCCAAGTCACCCTGTCCCATTGTCACCCCTCCAGCTATTCCAATCTTCAGAAACACAGACTCTGATCACTTTCTATATAAGAGAAACTTTTCTTTCTCTTGGCTTCGTATACCACACAATCTGCTGGACTTTATTGTAACTCACTAAATTTTCTTTTCAATTAGCTTTGTCACTCTTTCTCAAGCAGAGCACTAATTTTTGATGAGGACAAGAGATTATACCTGGCTTTTTCTGATCTTATATCTTAACCTCATTCAGCTATCCAACCCCAAGGCTTTCAATTCTGACTGGTTGTGAACACCTCATTTCTATCTCTGGTGATATTTTGCTTGAACACATGTTTTTTCACAAAATATATTTCTGAAAATATTTTCTTAGATGTGAAATAACATGAATTACCAAAGTCAGTCATTTGGGGCCATTTTGTCCACCTCATGACCCGCTTCTACTATAGTTGTTATCCCTTTGTTGTGTGACCTCCTAAAGTCTGGAAGTCACCCTTGATTATTTTCCCCTTGGACTCCATCATCCTACCATTCAATGCTGTCAGATGAACAACCACATCAGCGTCAGAATTCATTTCCTTCTTTTCCCCACTGTCATTGTTCAAGCCCAAGTCTCCATCATTTCTTGGAATTACTTCAACTCTCCTTTGTGATCTCACTGTCTCCACTGTTGACCCATAAAATGCATTATCCACATAGAACCCTATGTGATCTTTAAAAATCATACATTGAGTGACATAATTTGCCTGCTTAAAATCTCCCAATTATTTCCCAAGACACTTAGAATAAAATCAAACCTGTTCACTATGATGTGCAAGTTGATCAGGTAAACTCCTTGAATAATCAAGCTCCTGATTGTCTTTCTAGTATGTCTGACATTATTTGTGTTCCTTGTATTCTAGCCACACCCTCCATCTCTCAAGCAGTCAGATGTCTTTATAGCCCTATGGTCTGTGTGCCAATCCTTCTCTTTTATTAGAATCATTTCTCCACAGGTATTTCATAGCTATATTTTTCTTTCCCTTACATCTCTGTGGTACCCATCACAATCCAATCTAAAGTTATCAATCGCTTCCCATCTATCACATCATCCTCTTTATTTTCTTCATAACATTTATCACTATCTTAAATTATGTATTTGCTTATTTTTTATTTACCATCTTTCTTCATTAGATTAGAAATCTTATGAAATCAGAGAACTTATAACTCTTACTACTTTCTACACTTGAAGAAGTGCCTGCCATTTTGTAGGCGCTTATTATTTGTTCAGTAAACAAAGAACATGATTCTGAGACTCATAGAAAGATAGATTTTAGTTCTAGTTATCCTGTCCCCAAATTATATTGACTTATTTTCCTTATCTATACAATGAGGATGATGATACACCTTTTGCATTATTATTGTGAAGCCTAATTAAAAGTGTGTTTCTAAAACCCTCAATATGATAATAAAAACATAAAGAGTGCTCAATAGGATAATTTGTAATCATTGCAATTACTACCATTGCCTCCACACCCACAGCAATACTTTCTTTTGCACAATGGCTAATGTCCTCATCATCCTTGTCAGAGGTGTAAAAACTTTATGTTCTTTTTTATTCATTGTGAATATAATTTATTTCTCACATGCTGGCTTATATCAAGACAGACCTATTTCCTGGGTGGCAGGCATAGGATTATCTTTTTTTCTTTTCTTTTTTTTAAATAAAATATACTATTTATTTGTAAAAGAATGTGTTTTTCTACATTTTGAAATTTATTTTTAAAATTTATTTATTTGCTCTGATTTGTTATACATGACAGCAGAATACATTTCAATTCATAGCACATGTATAGAGTACATTTTTTTCATGTCTATAAGGTAGAGTCATAACATTTGTGTCTTCATACATATACTTAGATAGTGATGTCCATCTCATTCCACCATCTTTCCTACCCCTATGCTCCCTCCCTTTCTCTCCCCGCCCCTTTGCCCTATGAAAAGTTCCTCCATTCCTCCCATTTCTTTCCACCCCATGGATCAGCATCCACATATCAGAGAGAACATTTGGCCTTTGATTTTTGGGGATTGGCTTACTTCATTTACATAATATTCTCTAACTCCATTCATTTACTGCAAATGCCATGATTTTATTCAGTTTTAATGCTGAGTACTATTCCATGGTGTGTGTGTGTATGTATGTGTGTGTGTGTATGTGTGTGTGTGTGTGTGTGTGTGTGTGTGTGTGTGTGTATTGGTTCCACAATTTATCTATTGTGAATTGTGCTGCTATAAACATTGATATGGCTGCATCACTAGTATGCATATAGTACGCTGTTTTTAAGTGCTTTGGGAAACTTTGTGATTTATTATTTCATTTACTATCATCTGTCTTCTGTTCTATCTTTTCAAGATTGAATTCAAAGTGAATGATTATCTAATAATAAATTTATTCAATTATATTGCCAACTAATGATGATTTCTGTCTTGCAATAAATTGTCAATTTTGTTTCGGTCTCTAATTTCCAAAGCATGGAAAAGGGTAGAATTTCAGATACAGTGACTAGGCTAGGAAAAAAAAAGAAAATATGGGACAAAAATGTGGGATTTCTAAGTTGGTAGCTAACACATTATTTCTTTCCTCAAATCCCAACAGTTGTGGTGGTATTGCTAAGATTTTGAAGCAATAGTTGAATGTGTTACAAAAAGCTTTTGTCATCATCTCAAAGATCCCAGGGTGCAAAAAAGTCTGTCTATATGAACACATGCCTATATAGTTCCAAAACATCTGGGGAATGCATTACCCAAATTAGTCAAACTGATGATTTGGCATCCCATAGATCAAGTATCCAAACAATCAACAAAACAGATTGAAATTACTGGGGTTTGGGATGTAATGTGAAGAAACCAACTGGGCTAGGAGGTGGTTGGTTGACAGGTTGGAGCTGGCTGGCTTGCTGCCTGAAACAGATGGGGACCCCACTGTTGTATGGCCTTCTTCCTAAAGGCGACAGTACACACAGTGGCTGTGGACAGGGGCCTCTTTTTCAACAATACAGCCAGTGTCAGCTGCTTGCTCCAAACAGCCAAAGCAACATTCCATGTAAGCACAAGCTGTCCCTGCAGAGGGTTCAGCTGAGGGGTTCCTACTGAGTGGACCATCATTATTCACATAAACCTAAAACACTTTAAAAAGCACTTTCACATAACCTATCTCATTATAGTGTAGCATTATTTTGTTTCATTTCTATCAACACATTGTAAATGAGAAAATTGATGAAAGCTTACTGGTTTTTTTTCAAGGTCATTTAGAAAACAACTGAGCCAAGTCTAGCATATAGATGTCCTGAGTCAGATGTTCTTTCCTTTGCAGAAATAAGGAAGGTTAGCTGTAGGAGTGACAGTAGAAATTGAAGAGAGAATGGAATTGATGATATTCCACATTGAAACTGTATAGAGAGGGTGAACAAACATACTAGGTGTTTGTGATTGTTTGCAGTGGGATGATATTAGTTATACACATCATTCAAAATAAGAGGTTTTTCCATGTTGGTGGGTATACAAATTTAAGAAGTGAGGAAAAAAATGATGCAGTAAGGCAGATTTTTTTTTAAAAAAATCATAAAAAATGATGGAAACAAAAACATTGCTTTTGGTTGCTCAAAATATTTTTCCTAAGAAATAAGATTAGATTTCTCTGGTAGATTAAAGATGGCCATGACTTATTTTCCATTCTTCCTTGGTCCTGTGAATACTTGCCAACAGAAAGAGGAAGATGTTGTGCTGTATCAATTCCAGACACACATTTCAAAACCAAGAAATGGTTCCTTCTTCCTTCTTTGAACACCTTTTCTTGGAACTCAGCTGCTATGGTATGAGAAATCCAATTTGCAGAGATTAGCCATGTGTACACTCTACAGTTGGACTAAATGACCTACCAATCACCAGAATTAGCTGCCAGCCCTATGAGTGAACCATTGGTATTCTAGTGAAATAAAGTTCCTGGAAAACCAGAATCCCAGTCAGCATCACATGGGAAACAATTCAGGTGAGATCAGACAATCCAAACAACCATAAAGGAAAATAGAAGGAGAAGATTTACAAGAAGAATGTTAAAAGTTTTACTAATTTATTTTAACTAATTATAATGTCCAGATAGGAAGAGCAATGAAGATAGGAAGGACAATAAATTGAAAGAGAGGGGTTTTTTTCAGTTTTCTTGTATAATGTGGGGAAATATTTTATAACTAGTAGTTGTTTACTTTAAAAAAGGATTTTTCTCCCTAGCCATTCTCAGTTAGACTCTTTGTGTAATGATCAGTCCAGAGCACCACCACAGAAACACAGTGTAAAGTGAAGTTTCAAGGGTGCATCTGTTAAAAGCTTTCAAAGGAGCTTAGACTTAAGGCAGTACCTGTCATCCATGCAATGAGACTAATTCTCTGAAGGGCATTTACTTTGGACCAACTCAGCTAGAAAATAAAGGTTCAAGGAAGCTTAAGGGAGTTCCATAGCACTGTGATTGGCATCCCAAGGTAAAAAGAAGCCAGTTTCAGTAGAATCTGTGGATCCACAATTTAGTTAATAAGTTAATGCAGTCTTTGACTTGTAGAGTGAACTTTAAACTTATACATAGAAAACTCATATAATTTTTAAAGAAGTTTAATAAACATGGAAGCAAAGGAATAGAAGTGGTGTTAAACAAAAAGAGATTTCTGGATCTCCACCTTCCTATGTGTAAAAGAAAGGTTGAACATGCTAATTATACACAGACATGGAACACTTTTTATAGAAAAGGAAGAAAATCATAAAGGGAGGAAACCACTCTCAAGATAAATACCTCTAATAAATTACCAATATAATGAATGAACAAATAAATGCCAACATGTACCCAGCTTGGTTACATTCTTACTACACACCATTGATATGGTTCCTCTTTCCTAACTCCCTTGTTGGATAAGACAGAGTAGTGTGCAAGAGACATTTGTTAAATCTTCAGTAACTTTACAAGCTAGTTGACACAACATTAATGATTAAAATCAGTCATGTTAGGAGACTGATTTTAATCATTAATTTTAATCATTTCACACCATAGAAATGAAAATGTCACCAATCAATCCCTAGAGAATGTTTGATAAAATTTACTAGCAGAAACCTGGATGAGAGAGTGCTTCATGGTTTTCCTGGCCCTGTTTTCACCATTGTATGCTGAGTAGTGTGGGTTTTAGTATTCTAAGTTCATAGGGCTTTCATAGTGAAAGGAACCACACCCAGGATATCTCATCTATATGTGGACCTCATTTTGACAATGAAGTCTTTCTCTTGGAGTTGTATCAGGGAAGATTGAGATTTTTGTAGGTCTGTGGATAAAATGGAGTGTATTTTTCAAGTGAAATGAATATAAGTAATTTATGATCAATAGGCAAAATACGAGTAAGTTAAAGATGTGGGCAACATCTTTGTCTTTTACTCTAATTATAAGTGAAGTGTTTCTTTTTCATCCTCTTGAATCTGGTTTATACTGTAATTGACTGCCCAACTAAGAGAATGTGGTAGAAGTGGCTATACACCAGTTCTAGTTCCAGCCCAGAGGGATCTAGAGCTTTAACTTCCTTCCTATTTCAGACTTATATTTGGGAAACTCCTTCTTAATTCCTAGCTGTCATTTTTGAG